TGTCTATAGCTCGGGTCAGTCCCCCATGGTCTGCTTTGATTTTCTCGAACAGTGCCGGTCCGCATTAGGGACTCTCGTGCGAGCCATGCAACGTTCCCAGGCAGGAACTGCTCCCTTCCTTGAGCTCCCTATTTAGTGCGTTGATCTCGCAATGGCCCTCCACTCCAGCACGTCCTTATATCGCGTCCGCCACCACAGCTTCACATCCCCGGAGAGATACATTGTTGCCATTGTGACTTGGTAAAGGGGCACGAACAACCTTAAAGTACTGTTCCATGTCCTAAAAGTCTTCGATCCTTAGCATCTCGGGTGCCAACGAATGCCTTTGGTTTCGCTTGATTCGAACCATCTCCGTCGAGCCACTGCTTACGGCCTTCCATCATGGTCCGCCAAGGTCAGGGGGTCGCGGTTGGGTCTAGAGAGAGTGTGACAATCAATTACACTGAATCATTCGAAAAGGATGGGCAAGGAAAGTTAGAGCTAAATTCCGAAGAAGGTCGGAGGGTATAAAACCAGAACCAAGTCTTTGAAGTTTCGTATCTTGACCCAATGTCGGGAGAATTGGCTTACCGTGCCTCCACTGCTGTAGTTGACGTTACAGCTGGATCGGTTCATGCTTTGGCGAGCAAGCGCTAAAGCCCGCTTTTGGCTGACATTGAGTGGTATCATACATCAGCCCCTTCCTTATAATAGATAAACTCAACAAGGCTCGACGCGAAGCACAAAAGCGCTTTAAGGCGCATTAATCAGGCTTTGAAGGTCACACAAGAAGGCTATTCGACCGACAAAACGTAGGAATTAGTGCGTGCTGAAAAATGGACTTTTCTTTCTATTCTAAGTGAAGGGCAGGAGAAAGAATCTTGCATCTATCTCGAGTTGCTCCCTTAAGCGATCTATCCCCGGTTTTGTGACGTCGAGTTTGCTCTATTCTCTTAGCTCGGGCTCCTATCAAGCTTCACTTCGCGCATGATAGCGGCATTATTGGGGAAGGAAGTCGCTCGCTAGTGCACCTTACCCAAGGTGCACGTCGCTAGGTCAATTCATGCTTCGACGCACTCCCGCCTCGTGTTTTCTACAGAGTGTTGTGCCATACTTCGAAAATTACACGGTTCGGAGGAACTCTAACTCATTTATTTGGATGAAAGCTCCTTCTTCCAATCCCGTAGAGAGGCCCGGAAGAATTGATTGAGAATAACAAGACGATTGACCCATTTTTTCATCTTAAATAAAGACATCATGCCCTAGACGCGAAGGTGAGTAAGAGACCCAGGTGAATTCTGCGAAGATAGAAGAGCGGACTTCTGAGGAGACTGGAAGCCTATAAATAATAGGAATGGCGAACTGGAACCTCATCCTTCAAAGGCTTGGTGTATATTTGTCCTATTCGTAACGACCCCGACCTTGCGTCAGGGAAAGTGGGAAAACCCCTAAGACTCTACGGGCTGGCCGGGCCTAAAGGAGCTTATTTAATTCCACCTATGTAGTGACTCGCATTCAACAACGAAGAGTCTTCCCTCTTATCTCCTTCTTTAGAATTTAATTCTTCTGCATTTCCCACCCTAGCCGCCCTTCCTTAACAAGATGGCTCGGAGCAAGCAAAGTTTTACGCTATATACTATGCTATGATATTTGATAGCGCAGAGGGGGGGGGTAAGCACACAATGAAATAGGTGGAGAGTCCATTTTATTAATAATGAAAAAAGCCCTATAGCTCTTCGGACCATAGGATCTCACAGTGTCAGAATGAGTTGAGGACGAGATGTGGTGTCCAGTCGGATAGGGCGAGGCGAGAAGGGGAACAGGGGTCAAAACAGGCATGGTGCTTAGGGCGGCCTCCTTCATTTATTTCCGGTTCATTCGCGAACAAGACAAGTTGAGCTAGGAGCCCCCTTCTTGCCCTGCCCCCTTATTAGTAGCCGAAGTATAGGCCCGCGTGAGATCAAAGTAACTTGCCGCCCGTTCGCTCTCTGTTCAACAAAGGCCATCGATATTAACTCACTTCTTTATAAAAATCTTCCGCCCCATTATAAAAAAATGAAAGGATTGTGATTATGACAGTTTGTTTTGGTCTTGACGTGCTTTGAAAAACATAGAGATATGATTTGCACTAGAACACTTACGATAGACCCACCGGGAACACATTCACTACTGGGCATTGACATCTTAATGCGTTGCAATCTGGACATTGATCGATCTTTATGCTTCCCAGCAGCTATACAATCCGAATCGGCTACTAGTACCTATAAAGTAAAGACCGCTCGAGTTCTTGAGACCGGGGAGAATAATTTTAATTTACTTTGGTCACTATACGAACACAATGTGAATTGCCTCAAAGATGGTCAAGCTTTTTACTCGCCGCGCATCGGAAAGCAAGCAGCAACTAAGGTAGTTTACTTGCTTACTTGTTAGAGTAAGGGAATAGGGGGGAGCACTTCCACTACGGGATAGAGAATAGGTCCGGAAGGAACAATCTTTGAAAGAACTTAAAATAAGAGTGTTT